ATAAGCTGTGTTGCTTTATAAGAATTACAAAAATGAATTTATTGAGACCTTTTGTTATTTTTATTATAGCGTGTTCTTGAATTAAAAAGTCTATTCGATTGTTTCCGAGAAGAAAAGAGTCCCGTAATTTCAACAACGGTTAAATAAAAGACGCGAGTCTTGATAAAATGACTGAAAAAATCAGCGCATTTTTGTTATAATTAAGCTACAGAAAATACCATAAACGTGCCCTCGTACGCGAATCCGTTCGAGCGTCCAAAAATTTTGTATAAATTCTGATTAATTAATCCGTTCGATCATCCTTCGGACGCATTTAAAAAAACGGCCCTCCGCTAATTTCGCTAATTTATGCTATTTAAATATAATAAATAATTTAAAGCTAATTTCGCGGCGGGGCGAATCGTCGTCGAAGAGGCTCCAACAAATCGTTTAGCAACGGGAATTCAATGAACTCGGCCGCGAAAGTTGCGCGAAACGTTGTTCGGGCATTGCTCGCCGGGCAAACACGTTCATAGTGCGTTTTATGGTTGGGCCGGGGACTTCGACGCCCGCAACGAACGGCACGCCGTTATCTCGGCGTAAATCTCGACGCTTGTAAATCTCGACGAGGAATCGTTCTAGAGGCAACATTACCCAAACCAATGAACGATATACATGGTGTTCCATAATCATGTTAACAGCTGAAACAGGGTGATTCCTCGGGTAATTCGAAGTAACTTTTTCCTTAGCGAAAATGCAATGCGCGGCTTCGTTTGCGAGTTATCAACGAAGAACGGTGACCAATGAGAGGCGGTAGGCGGCGAGCCAATCAGCGGACCGGAGCTTCTCCCGCTCGTTGACTCGACTCGCGCCAGCCGAGCTCGCCTCTCATTGGCCGCGGTTTTTCGTTGATAACTCGCAAACGAAGCGGCGGATTGCATTTTCGCTGAGGAAAAAGTTGCTCCAAATGGCTTCAGGAATCCCTCATTTCCCGGAAGCACCATAATTTTGGGACTCCCTGTACAAAGCTCCGCTCGATGCAACAACATCGTTCGAAGTAATTTTTCGTTTCCCAATGGAGCCGAGTCGTCGATTTGCGGCGCAACGAGATCGGAATGCGTCGATGACGCGGTATCTATGAAGGGCGGCGATTACGGGACGTCGGTAACGTGATACGAGAACGAGATCGGTTGTGCAATCGATCGCCGGTCGATCATTTCGAGCTCGTTTGCATTCGAGTCGCGCGTTACGCGTTGCACCGTTGCGCGCGTCGGCGTCGATTGAACGGTTCGCTGCGGATAAGGATGGCTACGCGATGCGATACCGTTGCATCGATGACTGCACCGAGAGACGCGTTCGCCGGTGCGACAACGACGACAGTGTTCTATCGTTCTATACGCTATATATTCGCTTGTCTTTCCAGATAATCGCTGCAAGGAGCGAACCGCAGTCGCGAGCTGTTGTCGGCCCGATTTCGAGATTGCAGTGGCGGTGAAACAGCTTAGCAGCGCGAATAAAGAAGAGAAGAGAAAACGGCGAACGAAAACGTTAAACGATAAGGAGCACCGTGGGAAAAAGAGGACGGACCAGTTCAACGCGAGTTCGACAACGTGTCCTTCGACGCGTTCGGATTACTATTATCACGATGGCAGCGAACTGGTTTGCCGCGCGGTTCCACCGCGAAAAATCGGGCCTCGAGGAGAACCTGTCCGCGTTGTTTTCGGCGAGCGCGGACAGAATGGGAAGAAAAAGTGGACGCGGTGCGCGCGGCGACTTGACCTTGGCGGGACTCGGATCCGGTAGCAGGCCGAGTTAAAGGTGAACTGGGTGATTTGGGAGCGGCCTGGGTCGAGGCACGAAAAACCCGAGCCGCGGAATTTACGCGCGTTCCGTGCCGCGGGCTCGGGCAACGAGAAGAAACGTTTTCGAATGGATCGATCGGGATCGAGGAGCGACGTCGGCCGATTAATTATCGTGACGACGATCGATCGCGAATGGTAAATCGAGCGATCGAGGGAGCGGGCGAATAAATTCGCATCCCGGCGAAACGAGCCGCGGGATCGAAAGTAAAATCACCTCGATCCGTCGCCGTCGGATAAATCTACCGTGGCTCGGTCACTTTTACTTTCCGCGGAATTTGCTTCGAGGCTGTGGTGCACCCGTTGCTCTCCGTCCCTCTCTCTCTCTCTCTCTCTTTTTTCTTTCGCTCCGTTTACCAGGAAACTAATGGAACGGTCGCGCCGCTAATGAAATATCCTTTGTCATCCTTAATTGCCGGGCGGAATCTCGACGGACCACGACCGTCCGAAGATAATGCGCTCCTTTCGCTCCATACCTCGTTCTCTTTCTCCCAGAGAAAGGTCTCCCCTTTGTTCTGCAATTTATTCGGAACCCTGTCCCAAGCGACGTTTAAAAGTGGACGTTCGAAATGATTCGCCGTGGTCCACGTTTTATAATGTCCCTCGATTTGTTTGGTTCGCCGAGTGGAATTCTCGCGGGGATTGGAAACCGACCGGAGAGGTCGCGAAAGCAGGATCAACGGATCTCTGCCGTCGGGAATGCAGATCCTGGCCGCGAGTCTAAAGGTCCTGGCGGTGACTCAACCAGAGAAATTCCAAGCCGTGCAACGAAGAAAGCAAACCGCTTCGCCGAAACCGGCGAGCAAACAATATGTATATCCGTTGGCTTTCTCGCCTATCGCCGGCCATTAACGCCGATATTATTTCAACAATCGAGAGCAGAAGAACTCGATCGCGGAGAGTTTTAATTTATGCGAACGGAGGATCGCGATCATCGATCGAACGATGGAAGGATCGGTCCGCGTGTCTCGAAGGAAAGGTCACCGGCTGACCTTCCTCGCTCGATTCAGCGGTTATTTCGCTTGTATTCCTCTTCTCTCGTTTTCATCGACCGGCTTCTCCCCTTCGCCTCTCCTCGCGGAGCGAGGCTTTCCTCGTCCCTCGCGCATTCCTCCGGGACACCTCGTTCCAGCGACGAGGATCGGACCTCGCGAAGGTCGCCGAGGTGTCGACGAGCATTTTTCCAGTCCGTTCCAGAAGCTCGAGTCGCGTCCGGACACCTCTTTCTCTCTCTTTCTCGGTAATCGTCGTGAGAGCAGCCGGTCGATATTCGTGAAAGCCGGCCGAAGAGCTCGCAGGAAAGCCCCACGAATCTCTTCGCCGCTTTCGTCGAATCATTGCACAACGATTTCCGATCGATCCTTCCTCGAAAATCGCCCGGCGGCGCTCGAATTTCCAATCCTGCGAACGCTCGAAGCCGCGAGGACGCTCGTCGATCGCCGCGAGCTATCGAGCCCGTTCGATGCTGTTTTTTCCCCCGTTATAAGCGTCCGAAATTATGGTTCGGCTCGTCGGACACCTTCCCCGAACCCTCTGTCAAACGTTACGCTGATATCCCGCGTCGGTTTTAACTCGGCAAGGCTGTGATTCCGAGGAAAGTCTTGACGCCACATCGGGTCATCCGTCTTTATGGTGTAAGCTCCCTTCGGCCGGTGAAAAGTAACCGCAGGGATCGTCTCGAAAGCGAAGTTGGAAGGTCCGGGCTTCGGCGAAACACGGCGGAAACGATCGATTGCTTCGAGAACGAGATCCAAAGTACCGGACGACGAGAACTTTGCGATACTCTTACGATTTTTCTCGCGGCTACAGCGATTGGAAATTCTTCAAAATATTGCCGACAGAGGAACATGTTCCTCGCGAGGCTGGCCCGATAATCCACGACGATGGGTCAACGTCGCAAATGGCTGAAACAGATTCGATTTTAGGGGAGGAATCTCGGGGACCGGGCAACCGCGGCGTCGCGGCCCGACGTGCGCCGGCCTCGGCTCACAGTTTTGCAATCTCGAATTGCTCCGCACACACGTTCGCTCCATGTTTGCTTGATCGAGACAGGGCTCGGCGTGTCTCGAATAACCGGTAGATTTCCTCCTGCTCCTCCTCCTCCGCCGCCGCCGCGGCGAAGCCAGGAAGCCAACGATCGTGCCCAGGTATTCGATACGCATGCAGATCGCGCCCTCGAACGAGATCCAGCCGGTTCCAGTTTCGAAGCCTACGAAAACACGACGCGCGTCGCCGGGACCAGAAAGAACCGTGCCCGGAGCGGAATTCCTTCTCGTTCTCTTTTTCTCCTCGGTGGACACCGGCTCGGGCTCGGGCTCGGGCCCGCACGCATACGAGCGCGGACACGCGCGTGCTCGACCGACACGCGGAGAAAGTGGAATCGATCAACGACCCAGAAGAATTTCGCAAGATCCGATCCATTCAAGTACCTGCCCGCCGCCTGGCTGCCTTTTATCGGCGTTTATCGTTTATCGGCGAGCCAACAGTGCCAATCGACACGTTCCAGCGAGCCCTCCGAGACCGGCCACGGACGCTCTCTACTCGCCGCCAGCTCGCATCCGCGCGCGCCAGGCGTCGAGCTCTCCGGCAACGGGCTCGCCGAAGCATACGGGACACCTAATCTGCGACTAGAAATCCCCCAACCGGCGAGGACATCCTCGATCTTCGTGACCGTATCGGCGGAGCTTCGTGTTCTTTTTTTTCCTTTTTTTTTTATCGGAGATCGGCCTTCGTTCGACTCTTGTTTTCATTCGATCGCGGCCTTGGTCCCGCTCACCTTCTGCCCGTTTATTGTCTTCAATTTTGATCTACGACGAGCCTACCGTGCATTTTGGACGTAAACCGATTCCTATCGAGCCTACAGAGCCTTTAGATAAGGCGAAGCGAACCTCTGGTCTTCCGCAATCGATCCTTTCCGAAGATGCTCACAGGTCTTCGCCCTCTTCCTCAGGGGATCTTATCTAATTTGTCAGCCTCGCGTCGTCGATCTCGGCCCCAACGATGCTCTAAATTGTCTCAACGATGCTCGCCGCGTTCCTAAGTTCGAGGAGCCGATTGAAAATTGAACTAGCAAAATTGAAACAACCCCAATTTCTGAGAGAATTCTTCCCCCGTCGCGGTTAAATCGATCTCGCGAGCTGTTCGCCGGACGAGGAGACTCACCCAGTCCATTTTGGTAGCTGGAGCCAGCAGCTATCCCGTGTCGAATGTTCTCGCGACTGGATCAGCTCGAGCACATAGCGCGCACCACGACCGCTTCGACGCGATAGTCCTTGGTGCACGCGTTTCCGGCGCACGGTTCGCGACCTTGTGCTGCCTCGGACACGTTCGCACAGCTGGGCCACAAGTTGGAACTCGCGCGAGAAATAGAGAGCTTCTCCACACCGTTCGCCAGAGCTGGGACACAAGGACTGAGTTCTTGGACGGAACGCGGAGAAGGCACTGTTACTTTCATGGGTCGTCCCTCCACCTCCTTCACCACCACCGAGAGCCCCCTCCTGCCGTCGTCTTCGGCCGCGCAGGTGAAAGGAAAACATTTCTTCCCTCCACGGGCGTCTTTTAATATTGATAACGCGGGACCGTCGTATTTTTCAGACGCTTTTTCGCCTATTTCTGCCGAGCCGGGCCGTCCAGGAATGTCTATGCAAATCTGCCGAGCCGCGCCTCACTATTTTTATTTTTATTTTTTGGAACCGAGCGACTGGTCTATAAATATTTGAAAAATGTGAATCTTCATCGTGAACGGCTCCGGGATTAGAGTAGATTGATAGGGGATGAACGAGCGAAAGGAATTCGTTTATTTTGCGCCTCGCGCACCGCCCCGCGGTGCCAAAAACTGGTGCTCTTGAACGCTGATGCTCCGACAACAGAGCAGGAACATGAAGAACACGGTCCGAATATTAGTTAAACGGTCTGCGAGGTTTCACAGGGGTACGTCCTTTCGCTTTGCCCAAGAGAAATTCCCAAATCCTGTTCTTAGAGTCGAGAAGAAGTGCTTTGTCGGATATTTCTTCTCGACTCTAAGAACAGGATTTGGGAATTTCTCTTTGTCTAGATCAGAAGTGCTTTGTCGGATTTAGAATAAAATTACAGAAAATAGTTAATCCCGAGGTCCCATAAGGCCGGCCATAAAATCGGTTTCCGCCGATTGCGGATCGCGATTATGCTCGCGAACAGGTTGAAAACCAGCGAATGCATTCTTGCATCGGAACGAGGTGCAACAGCCGGTCTCGAGGCTGCAATTAAATCGGCCGGGACGTGGCTCGGCGATTAAACGGCGTCGGGAACGCTATCAGGAGCCCAAATACATGGCATTAGTAGCCGGGACGCGGCAGAAATCCCAAGTATTTTCGAGAAAACCGAGGCGAGAGAAAGAACCGTCGACGTGACGCGAAGGTCAATGCCGTTCCACGCCCTCGACGACGATGTTTTTCGCTTTCGACGCGAAGCTTTGAATCGCTGCCAGCCGACGCGTTACCGGATGAAACGCGCGGTCAAGATAAGAAAGCAAAGCCTTCGTGAGTTGATAGTTTATTCGTTGCTATGTACACGCCTCTGTCGAGTCCCAGAGGGATTCTTTGTTTCGAGGATAGAATTGTTTTCGGATCTTTATGCAAATTCCCGTTCTTCGGACGCAGTTTATTCCAGGCCGACGTCTTCGGCGCTGATGGTGGCCTTCTTATTTCTCGGCGCTGTCTCCTCTGCAAATGAGTAGTCGGGTTAACGATACGGATGCTTGCTGGGTAAGTTGATCGTTGGGAGGACATACCTTGGTGAAAATGTTTGGCGGTTCTTTTCCTGAGCGCCTCGACGCCCTCGTCGCTCTGTGCCCACTCCAGCGCCAACCTTCGACCGTACAAGTGAGTGCTCTGGCACAAGGCCGTGAACGCTTTCTGCGAAAAGAGGGGATTTAATTGATTGGCCAAGTAAAAAACGACGCATCGGCATCGGTTCGTAGACTGTACCTTCGCTTCACTTTTCGTGTAGAACTCGACGAACCCGAAACCTCTGTGCTTCTCCACGCCGACCAGTTTTCTTGGCAGCCTGACTGCCTTCAGCTCCCCGAACGCCCTGCGGATTCGTTGGAATTCTCATTAATCACGATTCACAAAAATCTAACCGACATGAAAAACGTACTTGAAGAGCTCGGTTATCTCTGCTACATTCGCTTGGAACGGCACATTCCTGATGAGGATCTTGGTGCCGGTCTGAGCGGACACCTTCGCAGTCTTCCTCGCGGTGTTCACATCGGATCTGCGTTCAAATATATCCATGAATACCATTTGCAATAAATCAACCATGAGCTGGAATAAACTAAGTAGCATACGTTAAAGTTCTTTCGGAGCGCTTCAACTCCAGAGATTTTCCCTCAAGTACGGACAACTGCATGGTCTTAATGGCACGATCGGCGTCCGCTTTCCTCTTGTACCTGACGAACCCGTAGCCCATGGATAGTTTCCCGCCTGGGTTCTTCGGGTCATTCTTCGTCGCCACCGAAGCATAATGAATCGGCCCGCATTTACTGAAATACTAATTACTTGAGATTAGTCTTAAGAACGAAACCTAGAAGTCTTAATAAAGCAGAACAAGTACCGTTTTCAGTAGTTCATTTGTTGTTGAGAAATTGATGTTCTTCACAAATAGAGTGGTGTCAGGCTCAGGCTCTTCATCATCCTCGCTTTCTACCTCGTTGTTCTTGCTAGCATCATCTTGTAACTGGTTCTTCTCTTTCTCAGGCGTCTCCTGCGGGTCGTTTGGCTTCTCTTTATTGTCTTCAACAGGCTCTGTTGTGCTCTTCTTGGCAGAATTCGAGAAGGTGTTCTCAGGAGCCCATTCCAGATAGAGAGGCAGATGCTTGTACTTGGTATAAGCTAATCTGGTGAACGCGTTGCGGGCTTCGGAGGGCTCCAGGAATTCTATCAGGGCCGTGATTCCGAACGGTGGCATCACCACTCTACCTAATACGCCGTGCTGACCGAACAACTGACAGAGGTCCCGTACCGGCGTCTCAGCAGGCAGATTTTTCACCAAGATCACGGTCTTGGATCGTTTCTCCGCGGGTCGATTGAACGCGTCCAAACAGACCCCGTTATTCTCCAAGAAACTCCTGGTGTCTTGGACTAGTTGCGTCTCTCCCAGAGCCAGCTTCACCGCGGCGCTCAATCCTCTCGACGAGCTGTCTTCCAAGACCCTTTCTTTGGTTGTATTGTAAGTTTTGGCGATTGCGTCTGCCACCGCATTCTGACCCAGGAACAAGGCGTTCCAATTGTGGGAGGACCCAGAAGTCGCCTTCATCTTCAGCTCCTTCTTCTCCTTGTAGGACAGTCCCTTCTCGTTAAGCAACTCCATTGGATCGACTTTCGCCATACCAGGAAGAAGGTGCAACATTCGGCCACCGAGAACGGTACCGTCTAATTCGCCGTATGCTTTCACGGCGTGCTCGGGCATCATGAAGGTCACCGTGCCAAAACACTTTAGCTTCCTGGTTACCTTGTCCACCGGAAGATTCACCTCCGTCAGTGGACCTGGTATGAAAGTGAGTCGATTAACACAGTGACAATTATCACATTATTGATTTAGCCTTCGGATGTTGGGACATACCATAGTTTTCGAATAGCTTCCGGATGTCCTCCTCCGTCGTGGTGTAGGATAGATTTCGTATAAATATTCTTCCAGACTCTGCTATATTCTCCTCGTCTTTCAGCGCATCTTCTTGCTTCTTCCACCTAACATTTATCTGATTCTTGTTTTCATCTGCACCCTCTTTCTCCTTCTCTTCGTACTTTGTTACAAATATTTGTTTACCATCTGAAAGGACCAACGAACAATTTTATAAATTAATGTCTCACTCACGTTGATCGCCGGATTTTTACCTAAGAAACTTCTGTTCTTCAGCATCGCTTTTCTGAATTGTTGCTCAGTTTTAAAACCGACATAAGCTATTCCTTTGATTTTTCGGGGTACTCTTATCGATTTTGCTTTTAGCGGATGGAAAAAGTGTTTGACATCCTTCTTCTTGTGATTGTATCCTAACCCGTGGAGCTTCACCGTGAAAAACTTGAGGGAGCCGCGTTTGGATGTAGTTTTCTTTTCGATATTTTTTACTGTATGCTGTTCATCTTTCCCCTTCAGAGCTTCCATGTACTATAGAAAAACAGTTAGCATTATTAACTTTATCAAGATAAATAATTTTATAATGTACACAAATTTTATGTACCTCTAAATCAGATATAACTTTATTTGCCACTTTTGGCTCTTCTTCCTCTTCTTTTTTGTCATCTTCATCCTTGTCATTGTCACTTTCATTATCGTCCTCACTGTTGCTAGAATTCTCTTGCGTATCGTCTAAGAAAGTGTCGTTAGTCCACACACTTTTGCTTATTGCATGACTCGCAAGAAATTCTGCGAATAAAGGATCATCTTTGTGCTAAAACAAATTAGTGTTAATGTTGGATCAAGATTATATTATTACTACACAATGCCATAGAAACATACTTTGTCCAATGCCTTTTTTAATTCATTCCTAACATTTTCCTTCTTATTCTTCTTATGGTTTTCTTTTTTCACTTCCGGTTTTACTGTCTTATCTAAAGATTCGGTTTCTCCAATATTGGTAGAATCTTTGTCGAGCACATCAGGCTTAGTACTGTCCGATGCATGTTTACTCCACGACTTGGGTTTAGAAGAATCCCCTACGAGATTAAATGTATCAAATAAACTGTGTAGCAATTCCTGAGCAATCTTAATGTATTATAATGTTTAGGGTACCTAATCCAGCACACTGTTCGATAGATATTCTGCTAGTATCTATACAGGTTTTATCAAAATATTCCTTTGCAGCAACAGCTTGTTCCTCTGATTTAAATCCAATAAATGCGAATCGCCGAAACACTCCATCTTTCGTGTATTTTAATTGCACGTCTGTTACCAAACCCTTTTGGCTAAACAGTTCTTTCAACTTAGTATCTGTAATCTATAAAGTTTCGTCACGTATAAATGCTTCTGATTTTATTACCATGCTTGTACGATTAAAGTTTACTACTTACACCTTTCGGCAAATTTTTTACTATCAAGCGTGACATTTTTTATCGGTTATAATCACTTTTATCCATACTTCCGAAGTATAGTATACCGCGTGTTTAAAGTACGTTAAATTTTCCAGAATCTACCGTACAACTTCAATGAATAACAAGTAATGTACCGGCCCGATGCAACGCTACGCTTTTATACATGCCTTAATGGCGGGCGCGCATGACGCGTCTAATACAGTATACCTCAAGTTTTGCGAGACTCTTCGGCCGCAGTGTGCTTCGTTTGCGAGAGTAGGAATAGAAATTACTTTGTTCTGATTGGCTGACAATTCAATATTAAAACATAATTCAATGCGGATTGGATACGCAGTAAAATGGTGAGAATACTTGCAAAAGCTAAGGTACACATTACTGTAATCAACTCCTCATAATATTTAAATATTATTTATTTTTTATATTATTATTATTATTTATATTTATTTTTAATATTATTTAAAAATGTAATTGTCGTTGACAGGTTTCTTCGTTCCAGATAATAAAAACAAACAAGTATGTGGAATGTATTATTTTATTAAAAAATTAAGATATAACTACGTTCAAGCGAAAATCAGAACCGTTCTAAAGTACTGTTTACGTCTATCGTTACGAAATAAAATATCTTTCGAAATAATTAATATTATTAGCTTTCGAGTAAATACATTTCATAAATCTCTCGGAGATCATTCTTCTGAAACTTTGGGACACAGTTGACTTGCACGATTTCCGTGAAACCCTCGTCCAAAGTTGGCGATTGATAATTTTTTCTAAACAAATATACAATTGATTAAATTTATATTACCATACAATAATAATCAACAATTCGTTTTATTTCCACTAACTTACATGTAAGAATTAATTATTACTTCAGTAATTTTCACGTGACTGGGATCTGTTAGTTCTCGGAACTGAAAAAAAAAAATTTGATAGAGTTTCGTGTCGCGACCATCCTGCATACAACTGTAATTATCTATTATTATTCCGTCACCTTATTATTATGCTTCGCGTGATCAGTACTAGTCGTCATGACGAAACATCTAACAGGAATTCCGTGTTTCTTGGCCACCTCTATATATCGTTGTCTGGAGGCAGGATCAGGATTTGTATTATCCACAACTACGCTATTTTTCTCGAGCAGGTGTTTCTCCGTGACGCTAATACACTTTTGCCAGCTCCCAAGAGTATCTCTGTTTACGTATCCATAGTGGCTTAAGTAGTTCTTAACAAAATGGGATTTGCCAGACGCTGGACATCCAACCATTAGGACTACCTAAAAATATAATTAAGTAACTCACAATATATTTAAAAATTATGTATGTATTGTTTTTGCTTTAATTACCTCTTGCTTGCTCGAAGTCACATTACCCCCTGTGCACACTTCAATAGTTGGTATATTTCTTGGATTGAACGTGGGCAGTACGTAACGTGGTTCCTTCTGACCAAGAAAGTGCTCTTCGGGGGTGTAAAATTTCAATCCTAAATTCATAGCTAATAATCTGTCCGCTAGCGAATGATCTTTTTTCTTTCCAGGAGCCCAACTTTTTGGACGGCCGGCTGCGTCTCCCACGTAAAATGAATTAGCTTTGTCGATTGGTATGGAATCGTTGTTCTTAAAAATTAATTTTTAATATTCAGTTTTTCGCAAACACAGTTGCTAATCTATAAATTCACTGGATACTCACCTCTTCCAATTTCTGCCACATACCAATGGATGGTTTTCTGTAAACGTTGTGTCCAGTGGCTATGAAAACCTACAAATAAATTTGACATATTGAATTACAATTGAAATTCAATAAAATGTAGTTGGAAGTATACCTGTATCGGCAGCCCAATTCTCTGTACTATGTTCTTTATTTTATTTTTGAACGATTTAGCATTCAATCTTGCAGAGCCGAGCCCACATTGATTAGTGAAAATTACTATCTTGTAACCATCGCTGTGGAGCTTCTTTAATTTTCCAGGTACCTCTGAATAAATGATTTGCCAATCATCATAATCTTTTGGAAATACTAAACCGGTACGTGTTTTTATCAGGGTTCCGTCCATATCATACGCGGCTATCTGAAAATAAAATTATCCTATAAATTTCTGCATACATTCTTCTTGAGTTATTTAAGTACCTTCGAACGACCCTTTACTCCGTGTGTTGTGTACATTAATAATGCTCCATTTTCTTTACTCTCCCATATATTTTGTTGATCTTTTGGGTCCATAGAGCTGGCCCCACCTTTCAACTTATCCGAACTCATATTATCTTTCTTTAAAAACTTGAGAATACTGGTTTCGGTATTTTTTATTGATTTTTCCTCTTGTTCTTCTTTGTCCGGAGTATTAGAATTTAAATTATCTTCTTCGAATTTGGCAATTTTACAAGAATATTCTTCGTTTTCTGTGCCTTTATCTACGTCTCTAGCTCTTTTCTCAGAAGGGAAGCTCTTCGGAGGAGGAGGATTGAATTCTATTTCATATGCATATTTACCATACAAGATCTCTAAACAGTCTTCATGCTTGCCTAAGAATTTAACATCTTTACGAGTTTTGAATCCATTGAACCCACAAGGCCGTTTACCAAGTTGTTGAATCGAGACTTTGTATTCTTGATAATCTGCACACAATCTGGCTACAATAAAATAATCACAGTTCTTAGATCAGTTTAGTCATTAATTACATAAATAATAAAACAGAGAAGTATAAACCTTGTTGTCTAGAACACTGCGAGTCTGTAATGTTGGTTTCTGGACAACGCCCCACAATAACTGGTTTGTGATGTGGCAAATGTACTGTCAGTAAGATTTTATCATTGCTTTTTAAATAACAACTTCTTGCTTCTTGAGTCATTGTAACTTGTACATGAAGCAACACCGGATCTATAATAAAAACGAAACAGATACAACGACATCAGTTTACAGAAATTTCGACGAATCGAGATACATGCAAATTTATAAAAGGCATTGCAGAAACAATGTACATACATACCGCATTATATTTGCACAATGATTTTTAGATAACCGTACACTAAAATACAGTAACGTTATGTTTCGCAGGAAACAGTAAGAATCTCTCAGATTGTTTACTACTTACATATTTGTTGACTTTGATAGGTATTAATTAGAAATGCTCGATTATCTTCGTAAAATTTCTTTATCTTTAATTTACCAATCAATTTCACCGTCTGCAAATGCAAATTCCTTCCGATCATTTTCGCATTTGCGGTGACGGTCAGAGAAGGTTGGGACCGACGCGAACCTAACCTTACGCAACGGATCACAGCACGTGGTGTTTTGATAGAGGGACAGAGAAACACGTGGACTTAATTGCAATACATAATTACCCTTTATTAAGAGAATCGTGTCATGGTTCAGTGACACGAGTATCGTGTAGGTTACAACTGGAATTGAATTTTGGTAAAGATGACTACGAACGAATCCTCGGGAACGGAGAAGAACCCGTACGCATATCTTGACAGGGTTGATTTCACGTCAGAGAAGTATAAAATTGAAATACATGGCCTGCCGAAGTATTACGGAATCGGTGAATTCAAAAAGTTTCTGAACGAGAAGCTCGAGCTACAAACGTGCAAAGTGAAACCGCCGAAAAAAGGTGGTTGGCTCTACGTATCCTTCAGAAACGAAGAGAATCGTAAAAAAGCCATAGAAAAGCTGAATGGGATTGCTTGGAAAAACTCGAAACTTACTGCTCGGGTAAAACACTGTTTGTTAGCAATTACTTTACATTAACAATTCTTAGTACTCAATCGATAAGGTCTCTTGAGTTTTAAGACACGAACTATCATTTGTTCAAGCCATTTTGGAGTAAGCTATAGTCATAAAGAATATTTTCTACGCAGCTTACTCCAGGAAGCCTTGACAATGATGCTGAATGGACTTTTGAATATTTTGGTTCTTGATTTGGGACACAGATAGCCAAGCCGGCTCCAGATCCATTTGTGAAACGAAAGTTGGAACAGGAAAGTGCGAACAAGCGTTTAAAGACAGAGGACAGCGAGCCTCTCTCGGTGGAGGATAGAATTAAGTCCAATACTACACCATTATGGAATATGCCTTACCCTGATCAAGTAAGATAATCGTTGGAATATAAAACAGGGACGTAGGGATAACACAAGGACACTGGTTTACTTTTAGTTGGCGCTGAAGCAAAAGGAAATGAGGTCCGTTCTGGCAAATATTTGTAACAAGATGTTGAAGAAAGGTAAGGGCGATCTTCTGGACTGGTTAAAATATCAGAAAGGCAAGCACCAAGGATTGCCCTGTGAGTTACTTCCCATTCTGAGCGCGGACAAGATAACAGAGTACAGAAATAAGTGTGAATTCACAGTTGGTAATTGGACATTTTATTAGTTTCAATGGTAATGTTAATAAAGTAAAGGGCATACAATGTGTCATCTGCATGTAGGTAGAAGCGCGAGCAGTAACGAAACCATGATAGGATTCAGACTATCCAGTTACGCGGCTGGATCCACAGAGGTGGGACCCATAGACGACCTGTGTCACATTCCCAGCAGGATGAAAGTCGTGATCAAAGTAAGTTCCCTGAGACGCTTGCTCCCTGGACTAGACTCGTCTTTTGCACAAGCAACTTTTAGGTACTGGAAGAGTTCATGCGGAACTCGGATCTGAAGCCCTTCCAACCGGTCGATCATAGCGGTCACTGGAGGCAAGTGACCGTCAGGACGACCCAGTGCGGCCATCTCATGGTAATAGTGGGCATCCATCCTCAGGATTTGACCGGCGAACAGCTGGAGGAACTGAAGACACAGCTAAAGGACTTTTTCGAGACGGGAAAGGGTGCGGATGCTGGCGTCACGTCCTTGCACTTTCAGATAATGAACAAGAAGTAAACTACCAATGCAAAAGACAAGAGGCGATCTCGTTGGGGACGATCTATCTGTTTATTCTTGCATAGGAGCAGCGACGGGTTGAGCGGTGACAATTTCTCTCACATATCTGGCTCGAAGTGCATAGAGGAGACGCTGCTGGGCATGAAGTTCCAGGTGTCGCCGCAGGCGTTCTTCCAGGTGAACACGTCAGCTGCCGAGTTGTTGTACAAAGCTGCCATCGACCTAGCAACACCGAACGAAGACACTGCGTTGCTGGACATTTGCTGCGGTACTGGGACCATCGGTCTGGCGTTCTCGAAGGTAAACTAAACAATGGACACCTCCAAGGATCTTATCATTAAACGCGCTACTTCGCAGCATTGCGGTGAAGTGCTCGGCCTCGAGGTGGTGGAGGACGCGATCAAGGACGCCAGGGAGAACGCGTTGGCGAACAACGTGACCAATTGCGAGTTCTTCGTCGGCAAGGCCGAGGACATTCTGACGCCGGTGATCCGCAGAACGACGAAGACCGACATCGTCGCCGTGGTCGATCCACCTCGCGCAGGACTTCGTAAGAGCATTTGTTTAGCTTCGTCAAGCATTTGTTTAATAGACTTTCTGTAGGTCGATGGATACGAAAATGGAATCATACGCGGCGATCTAACGGAAGCAAACTGGCTACGACTCAATTCATTAAATTATTCCAGATCAACGCGCTGTGTCGACCCTGCGCAAAGCGAACAAGCTGTCTCGCCTGGTCTACGTTGCTTGCGACCCTCGGGCGGCTGCGAAGAATTTAGTGGATCTTGCCAGGCCTCCGTCGAAGCAGTACGTCGGCGACCCGTTGGTGCCGGTCAAAGCCGTCCCCGTCGACATGTTTCCTTACACGAAGCACTGCGAGTTGCTGCTCTGCCTGCAGAGGCTGTCCGTTGCGATGAGAGCGCACGGGCTCGCCGCTAAAGCCGAGGAGGCCTCCAGTTAGCGACGGGTGGATCCTCGCGATCTGTATTTGCGCTGATTAGATTCGGAAAGCTCGGGAGTTGAACAAGCACAAACAACATCGTTAGGCTAGTCCACGCTTGCCGTAGAGATTGTGTCGAGTGCTGCGTGCGTAGAAGATCAGGTGGTCCGAAGGCTGAGCCATAATACCCCTGCGCAGTGCTGCAACTCGCGAGCTCTGCAGCGCCGCGACTCGAATAAAACCAAGCGTCCCTTGTACGCTGAATCTTGTAATCTGAATAATCATTTTATTCGATGTACGATGTCATTTTATTCAGCGCCGCGGACACGTGTCCGTAGGATATCGTGCGCGTGTCGCGTCCAGGGAACCTTGATCTACAGGAGGCGGAGACAGGGGGTTGTTTGACGGGAGCGAAGGAGTCGGGACATCTCGGTGTAGAACTGCGGAAACAGGGATCGCTCGAGTTTCGAGAGCCAATTAGAACTAGCACAGCGGAATGTCGTGTTGCTTGATACGCTTTCACAAGTGAAGTACGTTTAATCGGGAGTCCAGCATGCCGGTGTCGTTTTATAAGCCATGGGGACTATAACATATTTTCACGGAGGGTCGATGCTGCTTCGAAAGACACGGGAGAAGCGAGAGAAAAGATGANTCGAGGTGGTGGAGGACGCGATCAAGGACGCCAGGGAGAACGCGTTGGCGAACAACGTGACCAATTGCGAGTTCTTCGTCGGCAAGGCCGAGGACATTCTGACGCCGGTGATCCGCAGAACGACGAAGACCGACATCGTCGCCGTGGTCGATCCACCTCGCGCAGGACTTCGTAAGAGCATTTGTTTAGCTTCGTCAAGCATTTGTTTAATAGACTTTCTGTAGGTCGATGGATACGAAAATGGAATCATACGCGGCGATCTAACGGAAGCAAACTGGCTACGACTCAATTCATTAAATTATTCCAGATCAACGCGCTGTGTCGACCCTGCGCAAAGCGAACAAGCTGTCTCGCCTGGTCTACGTTGCTTGCGACCCTCGGGCGGCTGCGAAGAATTTAGTGGATCTTGCCAGGCCTCCGTCGAAGCAGTACGTCGGCGACCCGTTGGTGCCGGTCAAAGCCGTCCCCGTCGACATGTTTCCTTACACGAAGCACTGCGAGTTGCTGCTCTGCCTGCAGAGGCTGTCCGTTGCGATGAGAGCGCACGGGCTCGCCGCTAAAGCCGAGGAGGCCTCCAGTTAGCGACGGGTGGATCCTCGCGATCTGTATTTGCGCTGATTAGATTCGGAAAGCTCGGGAGTTGAACAAGCACAAACAACATCGTTAGGCTAGTCCACGCTTGCCGTAGAGATTGTGTCGAGTGCTGCGTGCGTAGAAGATCAGGTGGTCCGAAGGCTGAGCCATAATACCCCTGCGCAGTGCTGCAACTCGCGAGCTCTGCAGCGCCGCGACTCGAATAAAACCAAGCGTCCCTTGTACGCTGAATCTTGTAATCTGAATAATCATTTTATTCGATGTACGATGTCATTTTATTCAGCGCCGCGGACACGTGTCCGTAGGATATCGTGCGCGTGTCGCGTCCAGGGAACCTTGATCTACAGGAGGCGGAGACAGGGGGTTGTTTGACGGGAGCGAAGGAGTCGGGACATCTCGGTGTAGAACTGCGGAAACAGGGATCGCTCGAGTTTCGAGAGCCAATTAGAACTAGCACAGCGGAATGTCGTGTTGCTTGATACGCTTTCACAAGTGAAGTACGTTTAATCGGGAGTCCAGCATGCCGGTGTCGTTTTATAAGCCATGGGGACTATAACATATTTTCACGGAGGGTCGATGCTGCTTCGAAAGACACGGGAGAAGCGAGAGAAAAGATGAAAGAGAGAGAGAGAGAGAGAGTGAGAGAGAGAGAGAGAGAGAGAGAGAGAGAGAGAGAGAGAGAAAGTTGAATCGCGATCCCGACTCGCGACGAAGGGCCGAGCGATTTCGTCGGTGGGACTTAGGGGCCTAGTTTCCGTTGGTTCCGCGATTTATACGTCTGCTGGTGTGGGCCGAACGGGAGAAGCACGCCACGGAGGAAGGAGATTCGAGGGGTCCCCGAGCTGCGGGTCGAGGCGATGATACGGGGTCGTCGAGTCGGGCATCGAAGGCGAAGCTGGGACTATTGTGCTTGTTATCACTTTCTCTTGAAGCACGTCACCGCGTTAAAGTAGCACCGCCAGTACACGCGTCCTTTCGACTGGCCACGTCGCTGCAGGTCCATCTGCAAGGTCGATCTCTGGTTAGAACCTGTTCCTCGGCAGATCTGTGCGGCGGCTGTTATCGAACGCGGAAGCAGTCGCAGCCTCGTCGAAGCAGAACGTGACGAAGCTACGACCACTTTGGAACGATCTACGACGAATTGCAGGGATCTACGGAGCTAGACTTCCAAAGCGATAAGAAGCTGATGGCATCCCTTGAAAACGGTAGGTGCAAGGCAACGTATTTTGTCTCTAGTTTCGACGGAAGTCTGCTCGCGAGATCCTGGAATTCGCTGATCATCAGAGGAGGACGCGTGATCTCGGAAATGCCGTTCTTCCCTCGTTAGCGTCGCGTCTCGAGATTAACCCTTTGCACTCGAGCGGCGCTAGAAATTGCTTCACTATTCTTAAAAGAATGTTCACATCATTAAATTTGTCTGCATCCGATAAATTGCCAAATAATAGAGAAATTTTCTGCATAAGTATACGCGTTCGATTTCAAACGAATAAAAATAATCGTGCCGAATGGAGGAGATACTGTAGGTTGAAACAAATGTTTTTATTTTCGAATGAAAATAGCCTCGAGTGCGAGGGATCAATTTATAAAAGCATCCTCGGAGTGTATGGTGTCCTAATAGCAGCCTCTGCAGAAGCTTTCGCTAGACGAAACGACGACGAATAACGCGACGCTAAAGGAGGAGAAGTCTCGTGATCGTATGGCGACAGGACCTTCACCGTTTGCTCGTCCCCGGTCGAAACGATCTGCGATTCCCCCGCTGTGATATGAGGTCCCGAGGATCTCGCGTACGAGGATGATCTGCTGGCCCCCAGCTCGCCCTTGCTCTGATTGTCCACCGCCTTTTGCAGCGCGACCATCAGCTGGTCCAACAATAGGGCCGCCCTCTTCGGCACCACCACCTGCAAAACCAATAGATTCTAATACCGTGCCGTCGGACAACCGGGTCCATGTCCCGGATAACAATGAGAATAACACGGCGAGCCAGCCCGCAAACTGTTAATTACACCGCGCGCGGATTTACGCGATAATCGATCGAACGCTGTCAAGCTGCTGCGCGGCCCCGTAACATATATCGCGCGGTCCGCGAATCCACCGGATTCCTTTTATTATCCCTCGGCCATCGTTCCCATCGATCTCCGGCCCCGCCGATATTTAATGTTCACGCTAATTAAAAATAATTAGAGCCGCGCCGGATAATTGCCGCGAAGTTATAACTGCCTTGTTTGGCCACTCGCCCGAGAAACCGATCCTAAACCGCGACGCTACTCGAGACAAGTGCGCGATCACTACTCGAGATAAGTGTGGTGGACGATCGATGGCCGATCTATGCGATAGATCTTCGTGGCCAGAGTCCCGGTTCTTTTTCTTTTTTCGAGATAACTATGCACTTGCTGCGGGTCAATCGAGTCGTTAGATCACTGTACCTGTCGACGATCTCGCATTGAAACGAACAATTTTAATTGCGAATGCATTCATTCGATAAAGCGCGATCCTCGCGATAGATCATCGCGTCCAGAATCCTAATTTCTTCAGCTAAATTATTCGTTCGGAGCGGGTGAATCGAGTTATCGAATCGTTTGTTCGAATCGACGATCTCGCATTGAAGTGAACAATTTTTAAAAAGAGCTTGCTGGTGCGAATGCATTCATTAGATAAAGCGCGATTCTCGAGGTAGATCATCGCATCCAGAATCCTAGTTCCTTCAGCTAAATTATTCGTTCGGAGCGGGTGAATCGAATTATCTAATTGTTAGCTCGAATCGACGATCTCGCATTGAAGTGAACAATATTTAAAAAGAGCTTTCTAGTGCGCATACATTCATTAGATAAAGCGCGATCCATGCGATAGATCATCGCGTCCAGAATCCTAGTTTCTTGAGCTAAATTACTCGTTCAGAGTCGGTGAATCAAATCATTTAGTTGTTTGCTCGAATCGACGATCTCGCATTGAAACGAACAATTTTTAAAAAGAGCTTGCTGCTGCGCATACATTCGATAAAGCACGATCCTCACGATAAATCATCGCGTCCAGAATCCTAGTTTCTTGAGCTAAATTATTCGTTCAGAGCCGATGAATCGAATCATCTAATTGTTCGCTCGAATCGACGATCTCGCGTCGAAACGAACAACGTCAAAATCTAGAGAACGTACGCCGATCCGCCGAACGACGATTCGCGCTTTAGATGATCCCATTGTCCATTGCATTCCGAGGTTCTAGAACCGCCCACCCAGTTCGCGCGAGCTGTGGGCAGTTCGCATAAGCCTCGAAGGATTCCGGAAAATGCGCGTGAAATTTCGCGACGGGGCACAGCCGCTTTCGCGAGCGTAAATCGTTTTACGCGCGGACGCGTAAGCGGGGCCGCCATCTTGTCGGAGTGGTTCCGGTCGCGTTGGAACAAAAGGGCACCGTAGTGTAATCCGTTCCGTCGGATTTCTCTCGCGTTTCGACGTCGACGACAACGAGTTTCCGAGCCGGCGGTATAATATCGCGGCGGCTTATTCGATTAGCCGACGATGCTTCTTTGTCGCAGGTCGCGCGAGGAAGCCGGGGGAGAGCGAGGGGACGCGGGGGCCTCCAGGAACTCTCTCGGTGAGTGAAAATCACGTTTGTTGTCCCCTTTGACGGGCCCGAATGCAATAACGCGAGATAACAACGACTGTTCTCCCGGCAGCGGTGTCGCGTCGGTATCGTTAAAAAATAATTTCACCATCGAACGGACGGCTCGCGGCGGTCAATTCTCGCGCTCGTTATCTCGCTCGGTCTTTGTCGTTTGCTCGATTATTTATGCGGAGATATCGTCGTCGCCGCTGCTTCGTTTACTTGATTATTTACGCGGAGATATATCGTCACGGTCGGCGTGATTTCGTTGGCCGGCGGAAATTCTGAAAAAGGGATGAAGAAGGGAAGGGAACGAGGTTCCCGAGGACGCCGAAGTTGCCGGCGTCGTTTACCGGCGCGGCGCGCTCGATTATCCGCTCGGGGCTGCCAGAAAGTTGCGAACTCGTACCGGAATCTAATTATCGCGTTGATTAGCCGTGCGCGGTTCGAATTGCTCGCCCCGCGCCGGTCCCGTGTTCGTCGGAGATGCGCGCTGATTCGGTCCGATCGTTGTGCAATAAATTCTCCCGAATTTTCCCTCGGCTTGCGAACGGAAATTGAAGAATTTGGAAAGAGGAGAGCCTTGTATCTGGTTTTTATAATTATCGATAATCGGAAACTGTGAACATTGAGTCGCGAGGCTCGAATAATCGTTATTTCTTCTTTCAAAATTGTTTATTTTTGTTTGCAAGTCGAAGAAAAATTCGGGGAAGTTGACTGTCCTTTTCTTGAGAATTCTTCGCCTGAACTGTGATGCCTACTGGGAAAATGATATGTCGTTGTTATGATAATTATTATTATTTCTTTGTGAAGAAGCCCTTATAATTATGTAATTTATTTATATAATTTAACTTAAACCCTTGTATTGTATGTAAGGGTTAAAGACAAATTAAATTATATAAAATATATTAATTATAACAAATACTAAGTTATATTATTTAAATTATGTAATTTAATCTATTTATCTCATTTATAAAATAATTTATTACGCAGGGCCGTCGTAGGAAGCTATTATTATTCAGTCGCATAATTATGCAGTCGCATAACAGAAATTCTAAAAAAGTAAAAGAGGATGCGATTATTATTATGCGATTATTAAGCAATCTTTATGCGAATAAAAATTCTTATAGAAAAAGAACACAATAATACCTTGAAAATGAAACGACCACAATATTCTTAACCTTTAACCCAAATGCGGCACGGAATCCCGTCGCCCGATTTACTTTAAAATTTTCCCACGAATTTCTCCGAATTCAGATGAAAAAAATAGAAAGTCGACAACAATCTATTTAATATAATATCGAAACGCATTATCGTCCCAGGGGCGGCCGTCGCGGCGAGCTCGTTTAACGCGCTGGAATCAGCCGAGAACGAAATGATTTTCGCCGGAAAACTCTGATTTCCCTTGGAAACGGAACCGTCGTTGCCCATGCTAGGCCAGCAAACAAACATAAACGCGGTCGGTTATTCGTTCTGCGCGATTTCCCAGCGGCACACGCGGCTCCCGCGGGCCGGAGCTTTTATATCGGCGACAGTCGGAGCCGGAGCGGCTGCCCGGTTATGACAGTCCCGTGGCTGGATTATTGGCCCATTCGCGACGATATAGAGGCGATTGCTCGGGCCAATAAACGGGACCAACTACGAGACCGCTGTCCCAGTTCGTTCGATCAGCTGCCAACGCGATATTAGTTTTCTTCTTTGACACCCCCGCACTGGCCTAATCGGCGAGATTACTCTGCAGTTTTCCGTTCGATCTCAACGCTAGATTTACGGAGCGCGGGAAACAGCCGTTTTATACTACTGTGATCAAAAAGTAAGGTGAATTTGTTTATAAAATGTAAATTCTTTGTTTATTCTTCCAAATCAATTTCATCCCCTTCAAAGTAATCCCCGTCCGATAAAACGCACTGTTTCCGACGCTTTTTCCAGTCCTCGAAACAGTCGGAATAGTCTTTTTCCGGTATAGCCTTCAAGACCTTCTTCGATTCGGTTTTTATCTCCTCAATCGTGTCAAAACGGCGTCCCCGCATCGGCTTTTTGAGTTTGCTGAATAACCAGAAGTCGCACGGAGCCAAATCAGGCGAATACGGTGGTTGCGGAACGATATGAGTCGAGTTTTTGGCAAAAAAGTCGCGAAGAACCAATGCAGTATGACATGGCACCAATCGAGACTTGACGCGTTTGAGACACAAAACATCCTTCAAAATGGTAGATGTGTATAAGAGACAGATACATACTACTGTGATCAAAAAGTAAGGTGAATTTGTTTATAAAATGTAAATTCTTTGTTTATTCTTCCAAATCAATTTCATCCCCTTCAAAGTAATCCCCGTCCGATAAAACGCACTGTTTCCGACGCTTTTTCCAGTCCTCGAAACAGTCGGAATAGTCTTTTTCCGGTATAGCCTTCAAGACCTTCTTCGATTCGGTTTTTATCTCCTCAATCGTGTCAAAACGGCGTCCCCGCATCGGCTTTTTGAGTTTGCTGAATAACCAGAAGTCGCACGGAGCCAAATCAGGCGAATACGGTGGTTGCGGAACGATATGAGTCGAGTTTTTGGCAAAAAAGTCGCGAAGAACCAATGCAGTATGACATGGCACCAATCGAGACTTGACGCGTTTGAGACACAAAACATCCTTCAAAATGGTAGATGTGTATAAGAGACAGATACATACTACTGTGATCAAAAAGTAAGGTGAATTTGTTTATAAAATGTAAATTCTTTGTTTATTCTTCCAAATCAATTTCATCCCCTTCAAAGTAATCCCCGTCCGATAAAACGCACTGTTTCCGACGCTTTTTCCAGTCCTCGAAACAGTCGGAATAGTCTTTTTCCGGTATAGCCTTCAAGACCTTCTTCGATTCGGTTTTTATCTCCTCAATCGTGTCAAAACGGCGTCCCCGCATCGGCTTTTTGAGTTTGCTGAATAACCAGAAGTCGCACGGAGCCAAATCAGGCGAATACGGTGGTTGCGGAACGATATGAGTCGAGTTTTTGGCAAAAAAGTCGCGAAGAACCAATGCAGTATGACATGGCACCAATCGAGACTTGACGCGTTTGAGACACAAAACATCCTTCAAAATGGTAGATGTGTATAAGAGACAGATACATACTACTGTGATCAAAAAGTAAGGTGAATTTGTTTATAAAATGTAAATTCTTTGTTTATTCTTCCAAATCAATTTCATCCCCTTCAAAGTAATCCCCGTCCGATAAAACGCACTGTTTCCGACGCTTTTTCCAGTCCTCGAAACAGTCGGAATAGTCTTTTTCCGGTATAGCCTTCAAGACCTTCTTCG